TTTTCTCTTCTGACTCCACAGCCCTGTTTTTAAGGAATTGGTGAAGAAATATATGACTAAAGAAACCTGGCAACACTTTTTTAAATTGCATATGGTGAACTTGTGTTTTTAAGCACGCCGATTACTTGACTTTCGATTGTCTATTTATCTATTTTTTTTTACAATTAATATTCTTATTGTTCATATTAAGTAGTAATTTAACTTTTTTAATGTCAGATTTAAGAAATTTTGAAACACGTAGATCAAAGAACGCTGAGTGATCTGACGATGGAATTCCCTAAGTCGAGCCGGGAAACTCGCCACGCATACCAACAGCCTGGCTTATTACTCGAGTCAGTGCTCGTATTTAGAGATAAATTTTTTGCTCGTACTTTCCTTGTATCTCAAATTTCTTGTATATATATATATCTTGTGATCATACATACGTATGATTTCTTCCTTACTTTGTTGCTGATGAATATGATATAGCTTTATATCGATAAGCAATTAACTTATCAATTTTATACTAGTGGGATCTTAATTATTTTGATCATTGCTGATGAATATTCGACTATCGACCCTTTGATCATCATTGATATCTGGGGATCATTGCTGATCATATTTGGAACACCTACTCTAGAACATTTATTAGTACTTTCTGATCTAAAATTTTTCACAAGACTAATACTGCAAAGGTAAAAGCCATTTTCAAAGTTGCAGTACACTAAAGATTTCATAAAAGATCCATCAATTAATAAAATTTAAAAAGTAAGATGAACGTGATCATGAAAAAAAAAATAGGTACTTATGTATGTATGTATGTTTCAGAATACACCAAACTATGGCAAACACGTGCACAACAGTTTTATAGGCAACCATACACACGACACTTCTTCAGCGTTAACAAACAGTGTCACCATTTTTTACACTGTTTTTCTCTCCTTGTACTGATAATAACTGATTAACTAATAACAGCATTTAAAAGTGAGGAAAAATATCCTTCAAAATATTAATGGAATTTAACTAACTTAATGTAACTAGAAATATATAGGCACTAAGTTTGTTTATGAATTGTTCATAATATCTTTTAATTCAAAAGTTTGCTGATGAACGTGATCATAACATTTGTGGAAATTATTTGACCAATGCTGTACCTCTAATCTAAATATTAAGGGTAGTATTTTAAATTTCACATTGCAAGAGAACTTGCTAATGTGAAATTTAAAATTGAGTAAAAAAAGCAACCTTAGTTTGATATAGATGTTTTCAGGAAATTATTTTCAAAGAATAAACTTCTTTCTGCTCCTAAAGAAGAGGGACCTGTATGTGTTTCTCAGAATCAAGAGTTAATGACAATTGACATCAAAATTGATAGAGTTATTGAAAATTTGCATTGTTTTTTCCCTAATTTAAATCATTGACCGAAATCAAAAAAGATGTTTGTTGACTTAATCCCTTATTTGGCGATATTTCTCTGTAATTCTTGGTTACTTTCATTTGATGACTGCATCAGTTTAAAAATATTATTTATATGTAAATCTTATTCTTTTCTGTTAACGGGAGTGATCATATAATTCAAATTTTTGATCACAATAAGGAATGTATTTTCTATATAAAAAAATCAGGACTTTGGCCGTTCATTAACAATATCCAAAGGTTAGAATTGACTTGAAGGTACCCCTTGTATTATCACGAAGTTGTTGTTTCATTTATCGCCAAGTTGTTGTTTCATTTATGGTAACCTGAGTAGTTGAATGTTATGGAAACCCTATTGTGACGTAATCGTTTGCATTATTCTGGGAAATTTTGAATCATGGGATGTTTTATAAGGGCTTCTGTGGTGCGTGTGGTTAGGAAGTACATTGCTTATTTCATTGTTTAGACGGTAGAATGGCTGAATGTAGTAAGATTAATTTAAAGTTTCGGTGCAATTTGGAATGAAAGAGGAAAAGTGCATTAATTGACTAGTGTGTATAAAAAGCTTTACGTAATAGCCATTTTCCGGATAGTTCGGAACGATGTAGGATATTTTTGTGAATTAATGTGGTGACATCGATATACGGATTCTAGTTCAGATAATTTTAAGAAGTTTTTGGATGCTGTTAAGGAATTTTGTGTGCTACAGACTGAAGACGAAGGAATTTCTAAATATATGTTTATTTTATTGTTTGGTTTAAAATGTATTTTTTTGTTGTCTCTAGAATTGTGCGCTCCTTTGACTTTTTAAATGAAAATAGGTCGATGTGTACAGGGATAAAGTCAAGGGAGGCAAAAATTGACGCTACGTAAGCCAAAGTAACAAGTCAAAGAATTGCACAAACTTGCTATCCATTTACCACCAAAAATTGCTGAGGGGTACCATAAAATATACTTTTACCTTTCCAAATGATAGCATTAACCACAATCACAATAACCCTCTGAGCATTATGGTTTTCGCCCTGAAATTTCAAAATTCCCCAAAATGCCATGAATAAGCAGTATTTTCTTGGTCGTAATTCAAAATCACCCTTTGTACATGGATTTCTCTTCTTCTGATATGCATCCATCAGATTTATCAGAACCTGGCAGAAATTTTCATATGCAACAAATGAGAAAGCCATCGTTCGATATGGAAATTTACATCCTTAACCCTTGGAGGATTAAGCATCATCTACTGTAAAAATAAACATCAGAAAATTACATACATGTGGTATCATGCACAATCTCCGCATTGTACATTGACCATTATCGTGAGCTATGGAAGCAAAGTTTCCAGAATAAAATCTTATCTAACAATCAAATTTTCAAATTTAGCATGAACCTTTACTTCACTTTAACCCCGACTCTGCTGTTCTTCGCATGTATACAATATTTTTTTTTCCCTTAAAAACTGTCCGAAAATTGGTATCCGCATCACCATGACACGAATCACTAAACAATATGCAGTGTCGCCGAAATAGGCAACACAGAATTTTATAAAGATGTGTTTTTTGCCCCCTTCTCCTGTCAATACACTAAATGCATGCGGTTTTGGAATTTGAGGCTTATTTCTTAGTTTCTGCTTTTGATTAGTATCTTTTTTTTTTTTTTTTTTTTTTTTTTTTTTTTTTGTGTGTGTGTGTGTGTTTTGTTTCGTAATAAATTGTAATGCAGCTATGGAGTTTACTTGTTAATGAAAAAGAAAGTGGTGTATGTTTTCAGAAATATGGCATTTTACCTAGAAGTACATAGTGTAGGAATGTGCATCCCACAAAATCTATATTTATAAATGATCAAATTATCCAAGTTATCTTGGCGAATTCATTTGAAGAAGATATCTGGAAGAAAAGCAAAAAGACTGTTTTTAACAAATTTTTAAGCAGATGGCTAATGCTATCTGCTGGCTGTTAAAATGTAAATACAATCTAGATTGATTTTTCATTATTATTCTTAAAGTAATAAAATAATGCATTTGGCTAGTTTTATTTATCTTTCGTAATACATTATTATAGAAATTTTGCAGCTTGAACTGTTCTTATGTGATTGTGATAATAGTTTTCTCCTATGCAATTCTGATTTTTTTTTAAAAATTTAAATCAAGTTGATGTGTACATGGAGAAAGCTTAAACAGTTCACTGTTCACACAGACAGAGGACCGAGAAAACAATGTTTAAGTGTTTTATTATATGTGCTTACTACGTTTTTAATTTAATTAATTTGATATTTTATGATATTTTGAGTGTTTTGTTATCGATGTTAGCTTTATGTAATTGGCGACTTTGCAAGACAGTTAAGTGGATAATGTAATACAGTACAAAGTCTTTAATCCGGATTAGGGGTTTTGCCGGATTATAGATCATCAATTTAAATCTGGTAAGATGGCATGCAGAAATTATAAAATTAAAAATATGAAAACGTAATTTATGAAATAAAGAGCGATTATGATCTAAAGGGTATCAAAATTTACAAAAAAAAAAAAAAAAAAAAGAGCTTAATATTTATTTGTTTACTTTATTAAACATTTCTTTTAATGTAAGTTTTTTTATGTTGCTTCATTTTATGTGCTAATACTTTCTCTTTAATTCTATAAAAAGACATAATTTATTGTTCAGTTACAAAGTTCCACTGTTCAAGTCCTGTAATTGCTGTGCCGAGAATACCGACTAACTTGTCAATTGAATTTTTTTCATTTTCACTAACCTCTCTGTCACTTTCTTCATGCCTTTATCCATTTTTTGCAGTAGTTCCACTTTTTGTTTGATGGACATCGAAACATGCTTTCGCTTTGTAGATCCTTTGGCAGCTTCAGAATCGGAAACTCTTTTTGTCATAATTGAAAGTTCAAGCTTGCTTTCTATAAAATTGCTCTAACAGTTTGTAAAAAATAATAAGCCAAATCGAATTAAAAGATTAAGGAACAATGCTATCTGCACCATTAACTGAAATAGATAATTAGATTATTTTAGCCTAGCTTATACCGTCCATTACAAATTAAATGCACATGCGTAGACATATTATGTGCATGCGTAAATGCATGTGCGCACGCGTAAAGGTATTATGCACATGTGTAAACGCTATGCATGCGCAGAAAGTTTGTAGCTTTGAGGTCCGGATTAAAAACTTTGTACTGTAGTAATTGTTTCCTGCCCATCTGTACTATGTCTGGGTTGCTACATAATTATTTTAGCAGCATACTGCAGTACCTCTTGAATTCTTTCTCATGAGTTTTCAGTGGGAATGTGGATAAATAAAGTATCTCTTTATTATTCCTGAATTCGTATGGGAAAGATCACCTTGCATCATTGGTATCCCTTATATTTTTTTAACATCCACAGACAGTTTTGTTTTATGTTGACAGTTTGTGGTAGTAATTTTAGTACTTTTCTGTTACTAGGACACACCTTATCACCAAATACAATCGATGTAAAATCTAACCAGATGGTTGCAATACTAGTAATAAGTAAAGCTTCATAAAAAATGAACTTGTAATAGCAGTAATTTATCATGTAATATAATATGTATAGTGTTCAGTATGCTCTGTAATGTATATGTTCAATTTTTAGGGGTGTGGAGCATAAAAAAGGTTGGAAACCTCCCGAGTTAACACTTCTTTAAAACTTATGGTTGTATAAATAATCTTTTTTATCATGATAAAAGAATTGAGAAATTTAGGCACATCATAATTTTCTCATTTCATGTCTCTCCAGGTTAAATTTTATCAAATGGAAAAAATACCTGAAGATATATGGGATGATAAAAAGGACCCCAAATATACAGGTTATGAAGAAGTAAAAAATTGTTGGCATCATGTTGAAAGACTATTTCCAAAATTAAGAATTCCAGATCCTCCCAAGAAGGTTTCAAGTATGGGGTGGAAAGCACCTGCAGGTATGTATGTGCTTCTAAATCAATATTGCTTGCAATTTCTTTTCTTGCTCTGAAAGAAAGTAAAATTTTGGAATGCACTGAATTCTAGCATCTTTCTCAGTACTTACATGTTGGTTCTACCTCCTTGGCACAGTTTGGTGTTTTTTTTTTTTTTTTTTTTTTTTTTTTAACAGATGAAAAGGTAACTTATTACTATCTTACTTATTACTTAAGTATTACAAACTTATGCTGTATCTTCACGAATTTTTTTCAAAGTATTCCTAAACCATCTATATTTATCACAAGTCTGAAAATACCATCAATATGTAAAAGAAAACACTTTAAAAAGGTACTTGCATGTTATTGCAACAAACTTAGTAAAAGTCGCCAGATTTTCAAAATGTGCCAAATTCTGCCATTCATGTGCATCCACATTCGTTAGTCAACCATGCTCATAACAATCCTTCCTTCAAGCAATACCGTTATTTTTGCTTGCACTCTTTTTTAGTATTCAACATTCTAATAGTTTTTATAGATGGATCATGATATTTTTTTTTTCCCTTTCAACTCTATTTTAAAATATTACTTATGGAATTTGCCAGCAATTGAAAAATTTGTGGTAAAAATTCGACAGGAATGCAATATTTCCTGACAAAATCGTTACAAAAAAAGGGGTGAACAATGATTAGATGAGTTGGATGGATAGCCGATGCACAATGGTGAAGTTGTGCACTTCTGTGGTTCTTTTACAAAGAAAAGCAGGTTGCTGTGTATACAGGGAGAAGTACACATTAAAAAATTTTTAAATGAATTCAAAAAAAAAATTGTTTTAATTTTTACTGTATCACATAATCCTTATGCAATAATTAAAATTTGTATTTTAAATTGTTTCTTTCTTTTGATATATTGATAATGTTTGCCTATTTTAAAAGGAATTCACAAAATTTTTTTTAAAATTTTTAATGTAGTCCTTATGTAATAATTAAAATTTATGATTTATTATAAAAGTAAAACACTCTTTTTTTAGGCACAATTATTTTCTTATTTTTTAGTGCTGGTCACCAAGTACACAAAGATTTGTTTTCGCGTTCAAAACATCAGAGAATTGCAGAAACTCGACGTTGCACATTGGTTGTCTACCAAATGCATCACAGCATTGTTACCTTTAGCGATTTTGCCGCAAAACACCGTATTCCTGCTGAACTTTTACTGCAATTTCTTCAGTTCGCCCACTTATTTGGCGCGTTATGTTTCGCGCTTTTTACAAGAGTAAGAAGAATTGGATTTTTTTCAATTTCCTTTGACTGTTTAAGTTAAAATACACTGATGTGTACATGGACAAAGGGAGTGTGCAATGGCGAATTTGTGCAATTCTCTGATGTTTTTCTAAGTAAAAATAAGTTGATGTGTACATGGATACCGAGCTTGTGCAGTTCTTAAAAACGTGCCAACCCGTGGGTGATTCTGCACTTCCCCGAAAATTGAACAAGAGATATTTTAAAATCGAGTTGAATGCAAAAGATATCATGATTTGTCTGTAAAAACGATTAGAAATTGGAACGCAACATAAAGAATGCATGGAAAGATGGCAACGTTACTTAACTAAAGGATTGTTAAGAACATCATTGCCTGAAGAATATTCGGTAAAAATATATTTATGGGTGCTCCTTGACAAAAATTGGCAAATTTTAGTGATACATGGATACCGAGTTTGTGCAATTCTTTGTCTTATTATTTTGTCTTTGTGTAGCGGCGATTTTTGTGCCAAAAATAGCTGCTACACAAAGACAAAGAATTGCACAAACTCGGTATCCATGTACACATCAACCTATTTTTCACTTTAAAAAAAATGGAGAATTGCACAAACTAGGCATTGCATACTCCCTTGACTTTTTCCTATGTATACATCGAACTATATTCACTTAAAAAGTCAAAGCAGCAGCCAACAAAAAATATATAATCTCAATAAACTACATTTTAAATCAAACAGTGAAATAACATAAAAAATGAAATTCCTCTCTGCACTACACAAAGGAAATATTCACTTACCTTATTTACGAATTAATGTGTCATCTCTCTAACTAAATTCTGTAACAGCATCCAAAAACTTCCTAAAATTATCTTAATTAAAATCTGTATACTGGCGTTGTCACATTAATTCACAAAATAAGACTTGAAAATATTCTCTGTAGTTACGTTATTGTCTGTTTGTTCGACCATATGTATTTCCTTCCTACAAACAGGACACTTAATAATGGCTACTAAGTGAACCTTCATTTACACACCAGTCAATTAATGCTCTTTTCCCCTTTCTTTCCAAATCGTACCAAAACTTCAAATTGATCTTACCACATTCAGCTCATTTTACTGTCTAAACCACAAAGCAAGCTATGTACTTCTTAACCAACACACACCACAAGCCCTTACAAATCCTTTCCTATAATTCAAAATTTACTGCAATCATGCAACTGATTACATCATAGTAGGGTTTCCATAACATTCAACTATTCTGGTTATCATAAATGAAACAACAACTTCACGATAATATAAGGGGCACCTTTCAATCTACTCCAACCGAATATTCATGTGCATTGCTGCCAGAGTTTGGCACATTATGAAAATTAAACAGATTCTGCTATGGTGGTTCTGATAATATGCAAGTATTCCACTCTCATATCAGTTCTTCAGGCAAACATGCATGCGACATTTTTTCATTTTTGACAACAAACATCACCATTTTAATTTGCATTCTTTTTGTTTTATTCTAAGTATCAGCAGTTTATAGACAAATTAGTATACTTTTTGCATTCAACTCAATTTTAAAATATCACTTGTGGAATTTGCTAGCAATGGAAGAAACAGCAATAAACTTTCTGCAGGAATGCATCATTTTGACATAAAATCACTAAAACAATGCTCTTGAGCCACTTCTAAAAGTGATCATGGAATTTTCACAGAACTGAAAAAACAAAAACCTGCTTCTAAATACATTTGTTTTTTTGGGAAGGTATAACTAGCTAGCTAAAGCATAGAATATGTATACAAGTAATAAATCTTTTTTTACAATGAAAAGTCATCATTCTTTTTCTTCCGTAAAATTTGCCAAACTGTGTCAAAGTGATTCTCTTAATATGTAAGTTCTGGAATACTGAACTTTACTGTTGGTAACATCACTTTAAAAAGGCATTGTTGCCATATAAAAAGAAAAGTCATTTTGAATATTTGATATATATGAATTATTCCATCGACTGTTAAAGTGTCTACTACCACCGAACCATGAAAGCTGGTGGAGGTCGTGCCAAAGTTGTATCAATCATAATTGCATAATTCTGAAGGAACTGATGTCTCTTTATTTAATAGATAATTGGTACTCGATCCACTTCGTAAAACGGTTTTCGTCAATTTCTCATATTTTGTTAGGCTTTCCGATTTTACCTTATTTCCAGGATAAGGAGCTTAAAATGCTATGAGTACAAACTTCCTGCAGATAATTGCTCCAATCTATTACTGTTTTGTCAGTTTGAAAAAGAAAATCCTTTAACACCTTAGCATAATTTTCAAGAAAACGGGAAGAAAGTGCCAATTTTTTTATCCAAAATTGTTTACAAATAAGTGCATGAATAATGTATATATTCATCTTTAATTTTTGGTCTTTTGGGGGTGTTTCGAACACTACAGCCCAGAAATATCATGATCACGATAAGGAGAGGGCAAAACCTCACGCCATATTTTTGACAGGAGTGAGAAGGAAGAGGTTAATATCACTATTATAAGTCATTAGGACAAATGGAAAATTCATAAAAAGAATTGGAAGCTAATAGCAGAAATTCTGATTTCATATTGGAAATCAGCCCCATAAATATCTTACATTAGAAAAGTCAAATGTATGTGCCATGAGTGCAACATTGTTTTAGCCAAAACGTGTGTAGTGATGGTGTTTTTTTTTTTTTTTTTTTTTTTTTTACTATTAATTTTGTTGGTTGGTTTGTTTTGTTAACTTTACTGCTTTTTGAATTGATCCACCTTCATTTAATCTTTATTTAATATTAATTATTTAATTTAATGTAATTTTTATTTAATCTTATCACCAAGTCTCTAAATATAAGTTGGATTTATTCTCTTGTCTTCTATTCTTCCATTCTCATTGCATTCGTTTATTCATTTCGTTAGAGAATTGGGAGCTTAGTAATACATAAGGATGCTTTTCTGTAACAAAATCCTTCTTTTGCAGTGTAATTAATTCTAGAATTAGCTGAACTTAAAGCAATTCTACACGATTTAATCAGCATAAGTTTGCATGGCAAAGCAATGTGCCTTCTAATGTAAATTTAATAATTCAGTTTTATGAATTATTTTTATTATTTTGTAACCCCTGCATGTGGAAGATTTTTACTAAAATTCTTAAGAAGTATTTCTTTCTCTTTTGTTAAACTTTTCTATTGATTCTGTAAGAATAAAAACAAATTAAATTAATAAAAGCATTATTTTTAAAATAGGGAAGCATTTCTCACTTTTCTTTGGTAGCATTATGGTAAGAGAAATTTGTGAAATAAATGTAGATTCTCGTTGCTTCCTTGTTTAAAATTAAATCGGAAAAAATTAGAAAACACTGTCATAGTTTTTGAAAAATAAAAAACCACAATATGTTGAGAGGAACCGCATTTATTTTATGGAGCCCTTATATTGGCAATTGCTGCTATAATCGAATGAAATGTTGGTACTTTCTGATTTCTACCCATATTTAATTGTCTAATATATCAACTGATAGAAGTTATTTTTCAATTCAAAAATATATGAAGCACAAATCAGTAAGAAAAGGAATCCTACAGGGTTCGTAGCAGTCATTATAAGTCCTTATATTTGAAAATAAAATATAAAGGCCCTTATAGGTGCTTACTTTTTCTTTAAAGCCCTTATTTTTTTGTTTTTAGTGCTTATTTTTTGCTTTTAGTGCTTTATTTTAAATGAACACGCAATTTTTCCCCGTACCAAAGCCGAAACTAAATAAACAACTTTTCTTC